CACCCCTCCTTGCCAGCTGTTCTGGAAGACTTTAAAGTTTGAACGGAGAAGAAACCAAGGTGTTCTTAGCTCCCTGGCACTAGTGAGATCCAGGCTACCACGTGTTAACACTTCACTTCCTACCCTGGCAGATCTAACAGTGATTTGCAATACTCCTAGAAATGCACTGCCCCGAACATAGCTGAGGGATTACACATAATTTTCTGTTAAAGGTTTGGCCATCAGTTTATTTAACTCATTTAATTTCCTCATATTTGCATCTCTTAGAAATTTATTTTCACGTAGTCTGGCTTGCTTTTGTCTCAGTTTGGATTTGTTCCTTTCTTTCCCCTTTCTCTCTGTGTTCTACACTGTCAGGATGATTTGCAGTTCCATTGTCGCACTCTCACCAGCAGTTTCCCATCATCTTTCAGGCACCTGCCTCCCCCTTGCATTAGACTCAACTATCCACTGCAAGGCTGGGAGTAAATAAATGTAGCAGTCCAAGGGCCTTTCACTATTTGCACTAAGAATCTGTTTGCCTGGTGTTTTCTTGCACAGAGAAATTAGGGCTTTGTCCTGCTCTTCCCAGTCCTGTTTGCCTAGAACTGCTGGTAAAACCTCACAGGAAAGAGGTGCTGTCAATAAACATGGCTCTCAGACCCACTTCTTTCCCCTGGGAGGTGACATGTCCAGCTCCAGCAGACACCAGGGAGAGGACCATACCTCCTAAGGAAAATCAAGCATTTTGGTTAGCAAAGCTGGCTGCTCCCTGGCCTTGCTCTCTCAGTCCCCCAGGAAAGCTGTGTGCTGGCTGGGAAGCCAGTCACCTAAGCCATGGAGAATATATTGGGAGGGAGCTAAACGATCAGATCACCATCCACTGGGCATTTGCACATCTAAGCGTGCACCTCCCTGTTTCCCTCCTCCTAGGAAATTTGGCAAGCAGGAAACAGCCCTGGCTCTAGGTGGACATGAAAGCCTCTGGGAGTGGGAGGGAAGTCATAGTCTGCCCTTTTCTCATACCCTCTCTAACACCAACCTTGTGGCAATGGGATGAAGCAGGCATTCCCCCCCCCCCCCC